GCCACCAGAGCTCCCGACCTCAGCTATAGAAGGAAGATACTAATGTCTACCATCTACTGTGCAGTGTTGTTTGTTTTTGTGTTCTTACCGTGCAGTGATTTTTTGAGGGGGATCTGAGACACCATCAGCAGGGACCCTGCAGAGTACTCACACTCAGTAGACACTCAGTAAATCGGGCCACCTCCCCCTCCATTTTTACTTAAGATCTCACGCCAAATAACATCCACGTTACTCTCTGATCCTTTCTTCAGTTACACTACTACAGTAGTGTAGTGCCTAAGGCATTTGACTGCTAACTAGAAGGCTGGCAGTTCAAACCCACCAGCCGTTCCTCAGAAGGAAGATTGGGCTTTGTACTTCTATAGTGATACCACCTCAGAAACCCAAGGAGGGGTCGCTGTGAGTCGGATCTGACTCCACAGCAGTGAGTTTGGTTTGCTTTTTTGGTATTCCCACACTTCTCCTCCTGAAGTCTCTGCCCAGAGTCCAGAAAGTGCTCTGATTCTAACAGCAACACTAAGAGACTGGAAATTATTTTGTTAAACTAGCAATGAATTAACTAGTTGATAAACCAAATACGGTGAAACCTGTGAGAGCCACGACTCCACGGACTGCCTTGTTTTTCTGGGTCTCGTAAGTTTTCTCTCTTTGACAGGGTGCAGCCTTACAATTCCCTATTCCTTGTTTTGGTGGAAAATATTTGAGTTTTCCTTTTCTGACAGGTTTCCACCTTACACAGGTTCTGGCTTTTGCAGGTTTTCCTGTTTGTATGTGAGCATCAGCACACACCATTTGTTTTATTTGGGCAATGGTACTTGATATTTATAAATAAAAGGGAACAAAGTAAATACAGTCTATTCCCATTGTTTGCAGTAGAACCCTGAATTCTATAGAGTCGCTGTGAACACTGAATTAGTGAATACTGGACCACTGCTCCTAGGAGACACCCAGAGTTAAGTTCTGTGAACATTTTCATTAACCGATCAACACATAACCTTGCTTGACATGTGTTTCTGTTTGAAGACACCTTCTGTAATGTATCTAATTGGTTCATTAACATGGAACTCACGGCCTACAGAACTGTAACTCTTGCCTGAACAAAGCTCCTCTAACTCATATTTCTCTATAAAGTACATCACAGCCTTTTTGTGCTTAGGAACACTGGACAGGACACAACTCTTGGGGGCTGTTTTGTTTATTGATTTATTTATTAAATTGCCATGTGGGTGCAAGTTTACAGAGCAAATTCATTTTCCATTCAATGCTCCATACACATTTTGTTTCTTTACATTGATTACAATCCTCACAATGTAACAGCTGTCTTCCTACTTCCTTCCTCTGGTTATCTTTTCCCTGTGTCCCTCTTTCCCATGCATTCCTGCCCTCTGAGCTATCTCCTTGTGCAAATACTGCCCCTCTGATTCCCCATGGTTGACTGTTCTAAGGAGTGGACTTACCTAGTGTAATTATTCACCTTATATACCTGCCTATTGTTTGACTGGAAGTTAAGCCATGGGAGTGGGTTCAATTCCAGTCCTAATGGGTGATTAGGGGCCATAGTGTTGGGGGTTTCACCAGTTTTATCAGATGAGTAAGCCTGGTCTTTTTTTTATAATTTTGAGTTATATTCCACATTTTTCTCCCACTTCATCCAGGATCTCCAATTTTGATCCCTTTCTGAGAGCTTGGGAGTGATAGTCGGGCACCATTCAGTTCTTCTAGTGCCACGGTCATGTAGCTGAGGTTCACTCAGGGCCTTTTTATGTCTTTTTTTTTTTTTTTTAAATTGTGCTTTGGGTGCAGATTTACAGTGCAAAATTTGTTTTACATTCAACAGTATGTATACATTTGATTTCATGCCC